ATTCGAGTGATTGAACCGCTTTGAAATACATTCGAATTTTGCAAATGAGTTGTGTCTCTATTTTAGAAACGGATGTGAATTGTTATTGTGCGATTCGAGAAGATTGTTTCAGTCGGTGAATAGAATGAGCACGACTCAGCGGGAAAAAGAGTCAATTTTATGCAACAATTGAAATAAACCACTGAAGAATGCAAATGGAACAGAGTTATGGTTACTAAACAATGGTAATCCATGAAGAAAGTGCATCTGTGAAGCGATCAATGAATGCGGTGTAGTAGAGGAGTGAAGTGTAAACTTGAGCTCGAGGTTTTGCGTTTTGGAGGAGTTGTGTACAGCTGGAGCCGTAAGAAATGACACCGAGCAGCACCCAACGTCCATCGTCGCTCTCACTCACCAGCCCACCACCACTATCACCCTGAACACACACTGATTTGCCAGTGTTTTTTTTTTGCTTCATAAGGCACTCAATATTTTCCTCAACTAATATAATTGTCTTCTGGAATTGCATCTTTTGATCACATCCTTTTTAATCTCCTTTCAAATTTCAATCTCAACAAATCTCCTAAGCTGTAACAGAGCCTCAATTCAATCATAGCTGACCAAAGAGTTTGAATGCGGTTCTGAGATTGGTGCAACTTTCGCTCGCTCCATAATCAGATCTTCATGATTATGAACTGGAAGGATGACCCAGTCAAAAATCGTACGACAGAGAAAGATATGTCGCAATAGGCCATGAGACGATTGTGTGGTACACAGAGAGAGCGAATGGGTGAAATAAACGAAATAATCAAAGAATACACACACCGTACAAGCACTTCTCGTGCTAAGCTCAGGTGTACAAATTTGACCTGATCCTAGAAAAGACCACTTTTTGCTGCATAGTCGTGTTGGCATTAGATTGTGGATTGGAATTGCTTGTAGAGTATTCATAGTTCGAGACTGGAGTACAGCTGAAACTTTATTGCTTGTCATCGCTACTCTTCCATTGCTCGTCAGTGATCAAGGAAAAGAGAGTATAGAGTTAGGTGTGGATAAATCAATGAAATATGGAACAACTCGTGTATCATCACACTAGTCCGAATGGTTTGCTCAAGGTTGAGTGATG